GGCAGCTCTAATTTTTAAATGTGCAGTAAAGGTAAATAAAAAGCCCTGGTGTGCAGACAGAAGAAACTCTGGGGCTCTCTGGAAGGCCCAGTATTGCTGTACGTGCAGTGCCTGTGGAAGGGGTCAGTGAGGCACAGGCTGCCCTGGTGCCAGCAGTGGCAGGAGGGACACCATGCCTGGCCATGTCTCACTGACCCTCACACAGGTGCTGGCTGCAGTCTCATCCCACATCTGCCCCCTCCAGCTGTGCCCTTGGGGTGCTCTGTGCTGCTGCTCCCTCAGCCAGGGCCATGCCTGCCCTGTGGCCAGACAAGGTGAGCACTGATCTGTCAAGGCTGGAGGAGATCAGGAGCTCTGGCTCACATCTAAACCCCATCCTGAACGACTTTGTTTGCACCTGCATGTGACTGCTGAATTTTAGACCATTTGCTCCCCCAGTATGTGAGTTCTGCCTAGATATATTATTTATTTAGGTTTATAACAAACACAAAGGAAAAAAAGGAATAAATTAATAATGTATGGATTAGCTTATACATTTCAGCTCACAGCTGAGATGGCAGAGAGCAATCCTCATTTTAAGTTCCTTAAGACAATGGCTTTTCTTTCTTCCCCCAAACCCCAAGCAGTAATAAAGGTTCTGCCATTTACCACTTAGCATTGCACTAAGAAGACACCTGGACCTGAAATTAATTTGTGTTTAAGAACAGAGTGGCCACAGAGTCATACTTATTTGAATGATAGCTTTTTTATTAAGATGTTTTCTGTAGCTGTAATTTCAGTTTTCTTAGATCCAAGTTACAACTGACTCTGTTTCTCACTTCCTGTAGCATTTCCAAGTTTTCTTGTACCACAGCTCACGTGCCAGCCTTACCTAGCCCACAGCTATTAGGGCACCTTTCCTAAAGGGGAGATTGTACATACCAATTATCTGTAAAATATATAGTTTATAGGAGATTTTAAGCATCTCATACTTTAAATGGAAAAGTCTGAGATTCAGGTGAAATAAATACAAAAATGCATATCTTTACATATTGAAATACCATGACAGCTGAAAGTGCTTGAAACATTTGAGTGCCTTTATGGCAGTTTAACCAACTGTGTCCATAAATATTTAAAGCAGTGAATTATTTCTTGAAATTTACATTTTTATGTACCACTTTGGTGGAAGAATTATTGAACAATAAAGATGCTTTCCATAATAATTTCAGCTTTTCAAAAAGCAGCACTTGACTGCAAAAGGATTTTCTGGTGGTCACCATATGACTCAGTGAGCTCCCAGCATAATACTGAGCTTTGGTATTTCCCACCATTCAGGTTTTAACAGCACAAGATAACCTAGATCCAACCTATGTTTCTGTACTTCCCAAATAAAAAAAAATAAGAAGAGCTGCGCAGCAGCTGCTGTTACCTTTCAGCTGTGTCTCTGTACACACAGATAAATCTGACTGGTAAGAGTTCCTGTTTTCAGGATGGGATCAATAGGGATAAAGTGGCCATTTAAGTCCTGCTCTATCTATTATAAAGGGTTACTCTGTGTAAAATGTCCTGGTTTGCTTTTCAGGGGATGATAAGATCCCCACCCCACAGGTAACTGCAGGTGTGTTCTGCCCTCGGCCAGTGCCTTGTGCCAGGCTGCAGGAGCCAAAGCATGGAGCAGGGAATGTGCTCCTGTGAGACACAATCATTTGTGCCACTTGGCTTGCTCTGTGGAGCTACATTTGCAGCAAGGAGTAGGTGACAAGATAAAAAACATCCAAGTGGCTGGCACAGTCAACAAATGGGCCAGGGATGGGCTGAGAGCTGGCAGGGGAGCATTCTGCATTTCTGGAGCTGTCCGGGGCACATTGGAACTGAAGTGCTCTTTTAATTGTCCAAGAAGTAGCACAGTGTTTTTTAATTTATTTTAATTGAGTTTGAGTATGATTCCCATTGACATTTATTAAAAGAAACTGAAATTATTCTAAACTTCTCCCCAAAATATTTGAGTAAAAGTGAGGCAATAATTTCCTTTTTCATTTTTTTTTTTTTCTGTATTTGCCAGTGACCTGGAAAGTAATATTACAGAAAACTACAGAAAACACTGACATGTTGTTTTCTGTCTGTGTATCATTGTTACTGATAAGGATCACCAAATAATAATGACTCAGGCCCTGTGATGGGCTACATGACATTATAATCTGTTTCAATCTGCTTTTCATTTTTAGGATATATTACTTTTCAGATAAACTGTGAACTGAAAATCCCTAAGAAAGGATAGTGGAATGTAAATTTACAAAGTCTAGACAGCCAGCTGAAAACTGATTTTCTACACCTTATAAAAATTAGACTATAAACAAAATCTTTATTTAGTCTGAATAGTTCCATAGTTTCCAGCTGGTTGCAAAAGCTGTGCTTTAATTTAGCTGACAGTAAAAACTAAGAATGCACAGATCTTTTTTATCAGGCTACAAGTACAAATGTTTCTCTGTTAAGTAAACTGAAGTAGATAAATCCTTAGCTACACACTCTTAGCATTTCCACTGTGACAAGGGCTGACTGCATGTGTGTGAAATTTCAGGGGGAGATGCTCAAGTAGTGTCAATGAGGCACACACAGAGAAGGTTCTCACTAAGGTAGTCACAGCATTTCCAGGAGCAGCTGGATGACATAGTAAATCAACTCTATTGAATGATGCATTAATTTGGTAGGGCACTTGGAGGGCCCAATTCTTACTTTATAAAAACATATTCTAGTCTTCTGGCTTTCTCTTCATTTTACTGTGAAGAATAAACTGCAATCTAGGCACAATCCTGTACTAGTGGGAAAGAAGATTGTGTGCATTTCCAAAGAATTTTGAAACTTGTTTTTATCATTCCTTTTCCCGAATAAGTAGTATCTTAAAGAAGTGAATGTTATTGGTGCGAAGAAAAAAAATCACATATGATTGCATGCATCTGTTATGTGAGAAAACACATCAGTATTTTTGATAGCTCGATGCTGTCAACTGAAACAGTTCTAATCCTGGTAATAATTTGGGCTCTCCCTCTCTTTGCACAGCTCTTTGTATTAGCAGGTCTCTCTGTGCAGTCCCAGACAGATCTGTGTCACAGACACCTCCTAGCAAAGGTCCCTGAAAGGCAGATGTCATGTTACATTGATATAGACTGTTATTTAACCTTGTACCCCTCTGGGGTTACCGACTGGGAAAAACAAACACTGGATTTTCACTGCAGTGTCTTTTTGCATAGACTAAAGCAGGTAGATGACTTAAAAGTTCATGGAAGAAGTTTGAGTTTTGAAGGTCTTTGTCACATGAATTTTACAGAATCCATAAATTTTACGGTTCACCCCAGCCTGGGGTTGTTTAATCATTTTTTCATGCAATGTTACTACTTGCAGGCTGTGGTAAGATATCTTCAGTATTTAATTTTACTATTAACCAATTGTAATTAACAAAATACACTAATGAGTACATCTTGCACCACATATCCGGTTAGATATTTTTACATGTCTTCTGCATGACGTTTCATTGAGGAAACCCCAGTCTGGCTGGGTTGTTGCTCATTAAGGTCATCTGCACACTGGAATGTCAAAGAACCCAAAACAAGGAGAGATTTTGTCACTGTTATGCATAGGAGGGGTCTCTGCCCATCACAGCTGTCTAGCAGTGCATCTTCCCCTGTGTGCTGTACCACAGGTAACAGTCTGTGGGGCATTGAGCCACAGGAAAATCAAAGTGCTTTGAATGTGATCCTTTTCTGGGACTGTATCATCTGAGTGGTTGAACAGTCCCAGTTCCTGGCCATGGGGGGGACTTGGAGAGGAAGGGGCAGCTCAGAGTATAAATCCTGTGCTGCCATTCAGCACAGCCTCTCAGGGAACTGCTGGCATCTTCTGCCTCTCAATGGCTCCTGGCGTTTTCTCTTGGCTTGGCTCCCTCAAATCTTCCAAATGCCCTTGAAGCCACTAAAAGTTTTTGACATAGAGTTCAAGGGAAGATTGTTATCTCTGTCAAATATGGATTCCAAGACTGTAGATACATACAGAAATTAAAGTACATCAGGGGGTGGATTAATAAATCTCTGTGACTAGAACTGGTGTAAGAATCTCTTTTGGTTTGAGATCTAAAATTCCAAACTGATCTTTTTTTTCAAAATGAGGTGAACAGCAGCTTTGAATAACTGAGTAGAACAGTAATTAGCTCCTACAACTAAAGAGCAATCTAATGTTTCTTCTGTATCTAGTTTCCCATGGGAATTTTTCATAGCTACAGATGGGAAAGAGCAGGAATTAATTCTTTCTCCATGCATTGCTCAACCTGCAAGACAAGAAATTGGGGTCTTGAGAAAAGAACAGAAAATCACCGGCGATGAAGAAAGCAGACATCACTGCGTCACTTGAAAAAGTCATTCAACTGTGTTTAGAATTGCTCCTCTTTTCATTGACTTGTGGTGTTTCAAACAGAAAGTAATTTTCTGGCTCCAAGGCTTTTCCAACCAACTACAATTTCATTCTATAGGTTATGGTGCTGGGCACACCCAAAATGGATTTGTGCTGTTTTGTTTTGTGGATTGTGTGCTTTTATTAGAGCTTATGAGAAGTACAGATATGTTGCTTGCACAATATCGCCTTAGGAGAGAGCTTCCTTAGAAAGTGCCTGAAGAAGAACTTGTTCCTAATGAAATGACAGCTGAAAAGATTTCAAATATTTGTATAAATTTTTAATAAACCACAATTTGGTAGGGAACCATTTTCCAAATTATTTTCCTGGCATATGAAAGTCGTAACAGAAATGTTACATTTTATCCATCTGCTTCATGGTGTGTGCTTTTAAATAATTAAAAAGTGTACTGAAATCTATGTAAACTACAGGGTTTTGGCCTAGATGGTAAAACCATGCTATAAACTGCCCTTAAAGGATTTATCATTGATATATATGGGGTATTTTGCAAAAGATTATTGCATGATGTGGATAATTAGCAGTTACTCTATAATGAAATGTGCATTTATGTATTTTGTAGAACCACTAGATGAGCTGAAGATCAGAAGCCACAGCACTGAACCACTACCAAAGCTGGAAAACAAAGAGAGAGGACATCATGGGACAGCTTCCTGCAGGGAGCCAGGGAAAGCTCAGGAATGGGATGGAACACCAGGCCCCCCCATGGTGTCCAGCAGGCTGGGGAGATCCTCTGTCAGCCCAACCATGCTGGCTGGGGGCAACAGTTCAGGTACGTCAAGCACGGCACAGGGAGATCTCATCAATCTCCTTGTGAGCTGAAGAGTCTCTAAAGATACACTGATGTAGTAAGCATCCAGATTCTTTAGATTTCCAAATATCTTCTAGATTTGGCCCTGCCCATTGAGTGCTACACTAAAAAGGCTTGTGCTGTGCTTCTGCTGGACCAGCTGGGATGGTGGCATGGAATAGCAGCACCTAAGCATGTTAGCCATCTACTTTAAAAGAAGTAAAGGATTCCACCTGACATTGAAAAGGCAAAGGCACTCCTAGGATGGCACCTCAGGAAGTTCATAAGTTCATGCATCACATGAAGTAACAAAAATACACTTTGCAAAAGCAAGGCTGTCTTACTGAGGGGCACAGTGACAGGACACAGGCAGCCTTTGTTTTCTGCTTGTACATAAATTTCTAGAAAAGTGACTATGGATTTCAGAAGTCTCAGATAAACACCTATTCATTTTATTATTCAAAAACATTAACACATTAAATAGTAAATTGCCATAAACCATGGCATTATAATGCAGCCTTGTTTACAAATTGACCAAGACAAATGGAACTGATAAATGAATAGACATCTATAAAGAGATATTTATGGCCCTTGCACCAGTACTGTATTGGTGCTTTTGAGATTTGACAGCTCTCATAAAAGAGTAACTTCATTGCTTCTTAGTTGGACTGTGAGAAATATCCCCTTTAAGGACAGCTGGCATGTCTAGTGCTGACGCCTCATGGTCAGTGTTCAGTAAGTATAAGAGCAGGAATGAGCTGCTCAGACAAGAAATCATTCTTGCCTGAGAGATCTGCTGGGCAGTGAGTGGCAGCAAGGAGTGTTTACACTGCTGAGTGAGCAAAGATGCTCACAGCTCACCCAGAACATCGCTTCCCTGGGTGATAATGGGACTCACATCGTCCCTGACTTGCTGAAAATGACACCTGAAACTCAGCGTATAAGTTGAAGAGTCTTTGCTGATATGAAATGTCATTTGCAGCAATCATGTAGTCCAGCTTTGCTTGCTACAGACCCCCCAAACAGTCCTTCCTGGTGCAGTGAAAGTGACTTTTCTGCAAAAACTTATGACTCTAGCACAGGTCTTTTTTGTGCTACTGCCATTTCCTTACTTGTCTCTTCTTACAAAGCTTCCTGGAAGGTGGGAATTTTCCAGATAAGTTCATAGCTTTTGGTAAAAATTCTGTTCCCAGTGTCTTAGACCATCATCTGTGCTAATGCAGGTTAAAGGATGGGTTTAAGCGACCACATCAAAGTACTGGGACATATGAAAATTAGACCAAAGATGTGTACCAACCTTTTCAGTTCTGCAAGATGACACTATGGACCAGAGTAGTAAAGAAGTTAAAACTGAAGAGTAAGCTCTTAGCAAAATATAACACTGCTGTCCAACATTTCTGCAGCAGTTTTATTTTAAAGGGTTGGCTTATCTCCAAAAGCAGACAAAACATGTTGGCCTCAGTCTCCATTTGGCATCAGCAAACTGTAATAGTTGTTGAATCATGCCTTGATTTAGTTAACTATGACTTTGTCTTACACGACTAGGACTGTCAAAGGAAAATTTTATTTTCTTGGCCGAATTTTGATTCCTTTCAGTGATTAAAATATGAGAGCTGATTATAACTTTTCTTTCCCTGTAGATTTATGATATTTCATTTGATGAATATTGCCTCTCATCTGCCCTGAATATTTTTTCCCCCGTGTCTCTTGCTGTTCCCTGAGCAACACGTTTTACCTTTGCTTTGTTGCTTGGTGGGGCACTGCATTGAGAATGCTGTACACAGCTCTCCTCAATGAACTTGTACATGAACTGTATCAGCTCATTCTCTGCAATTAAATTAAAACTGTAACAGAATGCAAGAAGAGAGATTTAATACTTTCATATGAATACAAATGCTTTCTGGAGTCAAGGAGATAAAGTAATTCTGCACTAGGAAATAGAACTTAGATTTGCCTCAAATAAAATCTAGCCAGTCCCCAGTACAGTCATCACTGCTGCTACTCTCTTTGCAACATCATAGATAACAGGAAAAAAAAAAAAAGCTTTTTTTTTTTTTTTTTTTTTGATGTAGACATGTCCTTGAAACACTGCATCTTGGTACCTACCTCCTAGTTCACACTGGTACAGGCATTTATTAGGGCAATATTGAAATAAATATTTTTAATGGAGTTGAATTGCTCTGCTGCAAAAGAGAAAGGGTGTGAATGGATTTCCCACAGGCACTCATCAGGCAGCTCTGCTCCAGCTGGGAACTGGGGTGGCCTGGCCAAATACCTGGGTGAGAACCGTGGTAATCCGCTTTTGGTGGATTCTCCCCAACTCTGAAACTGCTAGTAAGATCCAAGGGAGAATGAGCCATCTCCAAACAGCATCTTGAACTTTCTGTCCATTTTGTTCAAAGAGCCTGGGCTGTCAGCTGCACACAGTTATCACTGTCTCTAGTGCCTGATTGTTCTGTGACAGAATTTGTCGAGGGCACTTTCTGTTTCTTGGCATCCTATAATTTCTTATGGAAAGCAGTGTGATTTGGGGGCATGCTGACTTTTGGGAAAGTCAGTGCAATTATCATGAACAGCCAAACACAGTCTGTAATACAGAATCTGTATAACTTCACTCCAGGAGACTTGAAGAGTATTTTCTGGAATGTTGCTGCTTTTTTCCTAACAGCAACAAAGAAGCATTTTGCATTGCCACCTGCTGCTGGAGACAGGCACTGCCTTGCCTTTAAAATCTCAGAAACTCTCTTGCATCCTGGTTTTGAATTGCCACCAGCTTGTCACTCAGCCAGCCATAAATATTCCATCTGAAAAGATTGTAGGTAATCAGGAAGGGAGGAAATATCCACCCTTCATTGCAATTACTGGTCATCATTGTCGATTTCCAAAAGCAATGAATATTTTAAGTTCATCTATTTGGGAATGGGACAAAGCCTGAAAAGCCCAAGGCACAAGATGCTTCCATTGTTGTAAGAAGGGAATAGCAGCAAAAAGTCAGTTCATGCCAGCCAGGTCTGTGCCACAAACCCCTACATTTTCTCCTCACAGGCAGTATCACTGTGCTCCTAAACCCACAAGGATTCTTCACATGAAAGGAACTTAATGCTGGGGTTTTATATTACTGCCCAGGAGGCTCAGATCTTGCCTGCACCTGTCATTCATGTTCTCTGCTCACAGGCTCTCCTAAGCAGAGCCTGTCACCTGTAATGAGATGAGCAGTATGGGAGCTGCACACTGAGGACATCCCACCAATGCCCATGGTCCTGCTGTGAGACCTCCAGGATGTGGGATCACACCGATTCTGCTGGAGTAAAAATATTGCCTAAGTGTAAGAAAAACACACACAAAAAACCTGAACAAAGATACAAAACACTTACTTGTATTTCAAAGAAGCCAGGAAATAGCAAACAAACACAGCCAAATCCTACAACAAAAGCTTTACAAAGAAAATAAACACCCATATTTCAGGACACAAAGTATATTCCACTATCAGCTTTTCCTTTTGGGCAAAATATCCCCTAAACCCAAACAGAGGGTTCCTTTTCAGACGTGGTTTTGATCATTACCTGACTTGGGTTTGAGACTTGCTAAACTTTTGACCTATGGGTGTCTGGTTACATTGAGTTCCACAGGTTCAGTGCTCCCCTTGTGAAAACTGTTCAGTTTGATGTGCTGCTGTGATATTTTAGCACTAACTGGCTTCTGCCAATAGCAAAATACTAAATGCTTTTTTTAGATAGCATAATACTATATAGTTTATTGCACCATAATGTTTCATAACTTCAAGTTGTATTTCAGCTTACTCATCTCTTTTTAGGCCAGTATGAAGACACTTGGTGTGATGTATTTTTCCAGCATACATGCTTTCTTTTTCTTCTTCTCCATTTTTTTTTTATGTGATTGCTCCCAGCCTGTCACATTGCCTTGTTTAATTCAAAATGCATTTCTTGGCAGCTGTAGCAAATAAGCAATATTTCTCTTTTCATGTGCAAAGAAGAGACTGTGACAGGATAAGAAGCTTCTCCAACGTAAGTGACAGCCAGAGCATTTTTTTGAATTAAGATTAGGATAGGCAGAATGAAGGCTTCCTTGGATGGATAAAGAACTCTTCCCATTAAGATCCAAAAATAAAAATTGCGAAGGGTTTTTGTACTTCTGGAGAATATAGAAAGCCATAGCACGTTGGTATAAAACTGATTGAAATATTTCCATAAAATCTTGTGGCATTTCAGCACTGTGCATTATTGAAGAAAATCCTACAACACCCCATGTCCCAAATACAATCAGCCAAGCCTCTACATCTTTAGTCATGCTGGAAGCCCCTGCAGTTTTGGAAAACCAGCCATTTATATGAGTGCTTAGACACATAATTAAATACACAACTTTAAGGCAATCCTATTTGTGCTTGGAAAGCCTGTATTTCTGTGTTGCACAGTCTCTCTTAAAATTCTCATCCTTAATGCTGCCCTTTGGAGCTAAATGCTTGTGTGGTTCCACATGTAACCCTCCTGGTGCTGTCAAGACTGAGTTTAAACCCAAGAGTGCAGTGGTGCTCAGCCCACTGCAGCTGATTTTGTCTGTGGGTTTGGTGTCAGGGGGCTGTGGTCCCACTCCAGAGTGTTGTGGCCACTGTGGGTGCCATGAGAGGAGACTGAGACCCACTGTGCCCCCCTAACAATGCACCTGGCTCCCAGAGACCTGCAGTGCGTTTTTCAAACCATGTCACTGTGAGAGATGTGACATTGGAAGCATTGCAAAATAACACCACTAAATTTCCACATACACCAGGTGAATTTTGTGAACATTTTTGTGCATAATATTTCACAGCCTCCTGGCTATCCCCAAGAATCTGCTGAATTCAGACCTCATGCTGCCCATTGATTGCAAAGAGCATCTCTAAAGGCTGCTCACATGCCCTGCATCCCCTGGCCTACAGAGCCTTCCCTGTGTGCCTCTCAGGATGGCTGATAGAACTCAGCTCCACACCGTGAAATTCTGTAACTGAGGGACTTCTCAAGATATCCAAGACTACTCATTTCAGATGTTAATACTGAGCTGTCTCAGTATCATCCACAAGAGATAAACATGAATTTCTAAATGCTAGAAAGCATCCCTGATATTTACTAGAAGTAGTTTTTCCTTTAAGATTCTTGGCATTGAATAGGAAAACCCAGATAGCCCCAGCAGAGTGAGTAAACTGCCCATAGCTGAAAAATAATGCGCTGCAGAATACAGAGCAGTGAGTTGTGCAGCAATTAAAGAATAAACCTTTTATGGACTATTTTTTCCCCAAGTGGTGTGCTGTTACTGAGACCACTAATTACAGTAGAATACAGTATTTATTTGGTCCAAAAATATAGCCACTGAGACAAAATAAGCTAGATGGAAGCGTGTCTGAAGCACCTTTTGGTGAGGATCACCATGGAAATCACAATAGTTTCCTTAATACTGGAACATATATTACAGGGAGATAAAGGAACTAATACTTCATCTGTGTGTGATAGGTTTTATTTCTTTGATGCCAGATGAAAGGAGTCTCTTTGGCAAGGAAATGGTAATCTCTTGCTGTTGCTCATAGATCCAAATTGGAAATTATGACACTTCTTTCTGCTTTCCTAAAGCAAAGAAAATAATTCAGAAACATACTCAGACAGTGTCTTGGAGTTTTTTTATGTGCTGAATGTCTGATTCTGCTTGTCACAGCAGAAACAGAATCTTTACTTAGCAGTAAAGAAAAACAACTGAAAAAAGCACAATTCTTGTCCTTTCTGAAACCCCTGCAGAATTCCAGGAGATGAGAGATGAGATATAATAATGAGATCCATTATTGTATCTATATTTCTGAAAGGAACAGTCAGAAATCTGGCACACAGTGTGAAATCAGAACAAAAACAAACCTAATCAACCTTCAGAGTAACTGCCCAAGTCCAAGAAAAGCAAACCAGCAGACTGTGTACAAAAGCAAGGTTATGGAGGAGGCCAGTCTGCTCCTTTCTGTGTGCCTGTGGCTGTGTTGATTCGTAGTGTGTTTACAGACTGACTTGGAGAGTGAATTGAATAATGCATTCGGCAAGCAGCATAAATATTTTTGCTGCTCAGCCAGCTGGATGTTAACTAACCTATTAATATTTAGTTGATGAATATTCACCCATACAGATGCTTTCATTGGTCTAAGTGCTCCAGGATAAGTGGATAGCTCTTCTCCGTGCCCTATTGAATTATGAAATATCTGAACAAAATAAGCATTGAAGGTGACAATGAGAAAGCATCAGCGAGAGTGGAAGAATCCATTTCAGCATGTTGTTGGTATGTGGAGTAATGTGCCAGCTGTCCTCAAGTTTCCAAAGTGTGCCAAGTGACTTTAAGGTCATGCTGGCAATAGGCATCTTCTTCCTTTCAAGCTGTGGCCCAACCAGTGGTCAGTGGTGATACTAGAGATCCACACAGGAAATAGAGAAATCAGTGTAAAACAAACACAGACAAAGCAGCTGTATACACGAGGCATGACAAAATAAATTTCAGACAGACACAGGCAAAAGATGTGCTTCAGAGACAAACTTACTAAACCACAACTGCACGAGGCATAGGCCCTTCCTTTCTTCTTGAAAACATAGAATTGAATAGGAGGAATTCTTCAAACCTTTTAAAAAAACTTCAAAATTCTTTAAACTGCAATGAAGCATGGTATTGAAGTTACTTGTTATTCATGGTAAAGGAGTACTGTCAATGTGAAAAGTGAGACTCTATTATTGTACCAAATCTGTCTGGTGAGTCCAAATGTTTTCAGTGCTTGCCCACTAAATACAAAAAAGCAGGTGCAGGGTTGGGAAGAAGGTTTATGAAACATGAGGAGAATGAATTGATCTGAGCAGAGTCATAGGCTGAGAGGTGCTTCCCCAGCCATATAAAGGAAATGTAAGGACAAAAAAATTTCTTGGGCAGAAACAGGCAGATCTCTTTTTCAGGAAAGGACAGTTTCCCCCAGACCAGCTGAACATTGGGGTAGTACGTGGGTGTCAGCATGGCTTAGATATAAAAACTTTCATCCAGGCCTCCTGAACTGCATGGTCACCGTGTGTCAGTGTGTACAATAGTAACCTGGATGGAAATCAATGGGGAACCTTCTCAGAAATTACTCCATATAAAGCAGTAGAAGAAAAAATCAAATAACTGCGTCATTTTTGTGAAGTTCTTCTCTGAAGTGGAGCTTTCTCCCAAGGCAACCATTGCTTCTGTTATCATCTTGATTCTGGGCAACTGACTTTGCCACTGCCAATGTTTTGATTTGTCTCTTCTTCCTACTTTATATCTCCCAATTCATTGCTACTGACATGAGATTCCCAAGTATTTTTGGTGTCATTCCAAATCCCCAAGTGTGACAATATCCTCACCACTTTTACATACCTTCTCCTTTATTTTTTGGCATTTCATGCTTTCCTTCAGCACAGCCAGTCTTCGGGCTGTCATGTCCCTCAGCTCTGGGATGGAGAGGTGAAACCAGAAGCCTCTGTAACTCCCTTAATCACTGCTGTATTACATGAGGAGTAGAAAAGGTCCTGGGGAGCAGGGGAGTGGGGAAACAGGAATGCTTCTTTTTTATTCTTCCTGTCTGCTGTTTTATGCTCTGTCCTTCAGAGATGCTAGAGCAAATAGGCCAGGACATGGCATGAGTCCTGCTTGAATCCCTCTTCTGATCTCAACTTCTGCTCATGATTGAGCCGTATGTCTAAGACTTTAACTCGTTACCAAAGCTGGAGTCTCCATTTCAAGGGAATCCTGGATGCACAGTGTTCCAGCTTGCTGCAGCAGTCCCCTGCTCCTGCTCACGGGTGTTTCTGTCTCTCCCTTGCAGAGTCCAAGTCGAGTTGCCGGCTGGGCCGCTCCGCGTCCACATCAGGAGTGCCTCCAGCGTCGGTGGCGCCGCTCCGGCAGCCCGGCGAGCTCCAGCCGAGCCAGGTACCATCGTTAGCCAATCGGGAATGACTCCCTGTGCTGCAACATGCCAAATGTCCCACCCCTCTGTCTGTCATTTGTTACAGTAAATGGTTCTTTTGCTTTGTGTCTTTGTTTTCTGTGCGTGTGCGTGCATCTGTGTGTGCGCATCTCTCATCGGCAATGAAATTCCGCTGGCCACAGCCAGCAGAATTTTCTTTGCTCTTAATTCTTTGTATCTTTTTCTGTCTTCATTCTGTAATATAAATGTAGTAAAACTGTACAGTATGAACTCGCTGGGTTTTTTATTTTTTCATGCTTTCTGTACTTTTTTACTGTCTTAAAATTTATCAAACTTTGATAAATTTAATCTATGTTTTTATGTAAATTTCTTTTAAATGTCCTGTCTAGAACACTTACACCAATGTTGTCAATGACTTGTACATACTTGACTTCTGCCCAGTTGTACTTTACTATTTGTGCCAGTCACATCTGGTTGGAGCTTAATGCATGATTGTATTACACTGTGATTTATCACTGTCCTAAAAACTGCTCTTACAGCAAGTGATTTTGTTTAGTTGAGGCAACTAGACTCTCTTCAGCTATAGACCACGTAATGCTTACAGGACTATTAAATAGTCCACTGTAGTTATACTTAATGTACATTTTTAGGAATCAAAAAAAAAACAAACAAATCAAAGGAGCAACATCTCCTTTTACCTTAAACAGAGATACTTTTTTATCATCATCAGAAACAAAACTGCCACATAGGAAAAAATGAAAGTGTTTGGGTTTGGCAAATTTCTCCAATAGAGAGAAAATGGAAAAGAAATAAAGACATGGGAAACCTATACTTACCTTTATTTTATATGCTAATACTGATATTGTAACATTTTGTTGCACAGACCTGTATTATTAGTTTGACAGAACTAGCTGAGAGTAGCAATTGAAAGAAGAGGTTTTGCTTAAACATCATGTGAATGGCTTCTGTCAAAGCACTGTGGCACTGCATCGCTGGTGTGTACGTGTGGGATGTGTGCACAAGGAGACAGGAGCACAGATGGATTTAGGTGCACATGCATATGTGTATGCACACACAGGCACCCTTATTTTGGTGGAGAATTTTTGTCTGGCTTTCAGGGAGTTAGTTCCCAAAATACTATTGAATGCCACTGAAGTTGAGTGGAAATCTCCCTGAGGACTGCTTTGCAATAATCACATATTTGCGTTTGTATCTTGGTAAGTTGCTCCAATAATGTCTTGACCAAAGCAAAGACCACAAGACTAAGTTGATTTACTCACTCCAGACAGCCAGCAACTTGTTAGGAAGGTCATATTTGGGTAGCCAAGTCTGTACAGGTTACAGCTCTGTAACCTGTATGAACTGATATGATTGTATTACTTCTGAGTGCTGCCAGACATGAAGACTGAGAGAACCCTGCACATTTCTAAAGCATATTTTACATAAGCAAATCAAATCTATAATGGAGATTCAAAATGACAGCCCATTTAAATAACACATCAAGTGTTCCTTCATCTAAGGAAGAAATTAGGGTAATTGTACTTCCAAAGGTTTTCAGTGTCCCAGTGTTCATGTAGTATATATTTTTGATTAAATGGATTTTACAGCACTCCTGATGCTTTGCTGTTTACTCAGTGGCAAAGGCACCTTGGGTGTTTTAAAGGGATTTTAGCCTGTCAGTTTATACTAAGAACTAAACAATAAGCCTTGAAAGCAGAAGCTGATGTGATAGAAGAGATAATGAGCCTCTTAGAAGCTGTAGCCAGGGTTCACTGAAACTGTGGAGGGAAAAATCCACCTCAATTCATACAGAAGAAAGGAACAAAGATGATAAGAGGAATTTTCAAGTGACTGTAGAAGGGTGATCTTGTTAATTGAATAATGTATGGTACGGTCATGACTTCATGAAAAACAAGAAAATCTAGTACAAGCTTTCTCTCCCTAAGTCTTCCCTTCCAGCTGACAATCTCTCACTGTCCATCTATTATGTTGCCATTTGTCATGATAGCATAACTTTTAAAGGTGTGGATTTCACCCTGATTTCAGAGGAATGACAAAAATCTTATCTCCGTGGCAGATACAAACATTGACTGTTCTTACAACACCTGTTCTGTCCTAATGCGCAAATAATGGATGATGGGTGAAATGTGTTTCCAACAGCTGGGCTGTTAGCCCATTCTCAATCTGCTGAGTTGTGGCATACAGGGTATCTATTTTTGTGTGCTGTGGCTATTGATTGTATTGATACTGCTTTCCTTAACAACATCATAGTGAGCAAATTAGACTTTCCAAAAGATTAAGATGTATTGTGTTATTCCCCTCTTTGTTGATCAGATAGGCACAGCTAACATTCAAACAGGAATATAGGATCTGGGAAAGGACAGATTACTGTTAATTGGTTTTCTCAAGTCTTCATGGATCCCAGACTTGTGATTTTCAAAATGCTTAATTTGGGAAAAAAAAAGACAAATTTGCAACTGAGTTCTCAAAACCCATAATTTTTAATGCAATTGTTCAAAGAAGTGGTGACTATGCTTAGTAATTCAAAATTGATCTGCTCTAAGGAAACCTAAATTATAATTCCAATCATATATTAGATAATTATGTAACTATTGTAATTTAACTCCCTTATGACTTATTTTCTTATTTCTTGTTTGGTTGTTGATGTAGGAATGGTGAGGATTAATCAGCTAGTATTCACAGAATATATCTATGGTATATTGATGGGAAGCAGTGGAGGGACCACCTAAAAATAAGAAGAAATGGCTTATGAGCAGAAATTAATTATATGGCTGGTCTCTGATGGAGAATGCTAAAAATTCTGTAGTGTAGGGACAGCCAGCATTTACCAAAATGCTGAGCCAGGTTGAGAGCCTGCCTTCTGTCCTTAGTTCTGGGAAATGATGAGGGTGTTTGGAAAGTGTTGGTTGCACAAAGCAACCTTGGATGAAGTCATTAATCATCTCCATTTAAACTGAAAGATAAACCTAAGTTTATCCTGGAACTGAAGTTATTGATTGTGAAAGGACAAAGTTTAAGAAATTAAGGAAGTAGCAGAGGAGGTTGGTGGGATGCTTGGAACTGTAATAATGGCAGGAGTGTAGAATATTTTTGAGCACCAAAAGTGCCACATAGCTGTATTTCCTAAATGCATATCTAAATAAAAATATCCTACAGAGATGGGTATAAACAGCAGAGAAGTATTCTAGATAGGATGAATTGTCTTGTAAAGAAAGGAAAGAAGGAAATGTTAAGCATGCAGAAGCAGGCCATCCTCAAGTGCCAAAACACAAACCAGCAGGGAAGACGACCAGACTGTCTGAATAGAGTTTTTGCTGGGACTCAGGAAAAGAGAGAATTTCTGAAAGTTGTAAGAAGGGACAAGCAACTCAGGAGGACAAGGGAGTCATGAGGTTATGGAGGGAGAAAATTAGAAGGGCCAAATCCTGACTAGCACTTAATCTGTCTACTGTGATAAAAGACAATAAAAATGTTTCTATGCAAAAGGAAATCTAAGAAGAATCTCCATCCTCTTTTTGGATGGCAGAGAGAACATAATGACAAAAGGTGGGGAAAAGGCTGAGGTACTTAATGCCTTCTTTGCCTCAGTGTTCAAAAGCAGGACCAGCTGTTCTCCAGGTACCACCCCTGAGCTGGAAGATGGACACAGGGAGCAGAATGAAGGCCTCATAATCCACAGGGTAATGGTCAGTGACCTGCTTTAACACTCAGACACACACTGTAGGATATAATCTGTTTATATTAGAAAAAATTTCCACAGAAGGAGTTGTCAAGCAACAGGCTGCCCTGGGAAGTGGAAGAGTCCATTCTACCATCCTTGGAGATGTTTAAAAGACATGTAGATGTGGCATCTGGGGACATGTTTTTCAGTGCTGGTTTAAAGGCATTTTTCAGCCTAAGTGATTCTCATTCTATAAAGGTATGACATTGTTACAGGGAATGGAGAAATGTTGTAGAAAGTAAAGCAAGTTATATCTTAGAGAAAAAAAGTGTGTGAATAACTTTAGAGATAGTAAAAGTCCGTGCTTGGCCTTTATGTGGAAATGAAAACAAGTAACTGTCTTTTGTAGCCATCTAAGTGGACTGAGAACAGTGGAATTTAACCACTTTGAGGGGTTTATAAAGTACAATAAATAGGGTCCACAGTTGCCCCAGTAAATAACTCCTCACCCATTTTGCTGGAACCTCTGTGCTGGCACCTGAGATTTCTGCAGCAGGCATGGTCAGGGGTTTCACCCTGCAGTGGAAAATGCTCAGTCCTGCCACAGCACAGCCACAGTGAACAAAGCTGTTCATTTGTGTAAAGCAAGCAGGATTTGGAGTCACAGGTACCACCGCTGTGCAATGATGCTTCCCTGCCATCCCATCATTCTCCACATCTTCACCTCGGGGTAACAAAGGATTGCATTCCATCGATGAGCTCAGATATCCCTGTGGCATACAGGCTAGGTATGCACTGAGCATATCTGGCACAAAAGAAGAAAACGTTTCAAGCAGACTGTGGAAGTCCCTCTGCTGGAGAGCAGAATATCTTGCACCCAGAGTTTTAATGTACGTAAAATCCTCTCTGTATCACTGCCATGCCTCTCTGAAACAGTCTTCAGCACAGAAAAATCCCACTAATTTCCATTTTAAGAAAAAAAGAGCACCTTGGGATTTTTTTTTTTTTTTTGAGATATGAACACCTTGGGATTTTTTTTTTCTGCTAATGAACTTTGCAAGGTGAGATTTGTTTTCATTAATTTGGAGACAGTGATTGGAAAATCCCACCTACTAGGCTGCATAGCAGCACAGCAGCGCATGTTTTTAAGATAGATGGTCTGAAGAAAACCACACTCTTTGAAAACAAAACTACTGATAGCTAGAGTTTCATATTTTAGCTTTCCTGCAAAGCAGGGCCTATTTTCAGATAGATTTTCACAAAAGTGTGTTCCTTATCTGCAAGTGTGCAGCCTCTCTTCATGGTGCCTGTTAGTTTCTT